GCGCCGCGACGCGCATGTCGGCACGCCCCTCACGAGGATCGCGCCCGCTTCCTTCGCTTGTTTTCCTCCTTCTTGCCCCTGCACTCCAAGGCTCAAGGCTGCAAGCGCAGCGCAGCGCGGAGTCCCCGCGAAGCGCGCCGGTCGCCCCGAACGGGTCCCAGCGACGCGCGCGGGTCGTCCGCTGCGCGGAGCAAAGAAAGCTAGCTGGCTGGCTGATGGCGGGCAAGGATCTGGCCGCTGGGCAGAGCGACGACGGGCGAGCGAGGCGCTTGGCAGAGCGCCGCGCGGAGTTCCCGCGACGCGCGCTGGTCGCCCCGAGAGGGTCCCAGCGACGCGCGCGGGTCGTCCGCGGCGCGGAGCAAAGAATGCTAGCTGGCTGGCTGATGGATCTGGCCGTTGGGCAAAGCGACGACGGGCGAGCGAGGCGCTCGCTGAGCAGGGCGCCGCGCGGAGTTCCCGCGACGCGCTCTGGTCGCCCCGAGAGGGTTCCAGCGACGCGCGCGGGTCGTCCGCGGCGCGGCGCCAAACAGTGGGACCTTCTGTGGGACTCCCCGTGGGGCCACGAAGCGTGCGAGAGGTGTGCCAAAATGGGGCGGCGCCGCCATGTGAACTGCACCATGGGACCCTTAGGTGGAGCTCCCCATGGGGCCACGAAGCGTGCGAGCGGCGTGCGAACATGTGACGGCGCCGCCATGCGAACTGCGCCACGGGGACCTTAGGTGGAAATCCCTATGGGGCCACGGAGCGTGTGACGGGTATGCCACAATGGAGCGGCGCCGCCGTGCGAATTGCGCCATTGGGACCTTCGGTGGAGTTCCTGATGGGCCCCGAAGCGTGTGCGGGGTATGCCAAGATGGTGCGGCGCCGCCATGCGAACTGCACCACTGGGACCTTAGCTGGAGCTCCCTGTGGGACCACAAAGCGTATGATGGGTGTGCCAAGATGGGGCGGCGCCGCCATGCGAACTGCGCGAGGGGGACCTTCGATGGAGCTCCTGATAGGGGCAACGAAGCGTGTGAGGGGCGTGCCAAAATGGGACGGCGCCGCCTTGCGAATTGCAACACGGGGACCTTAAGTAGAGCTCCCGATGGGGCCACGAAACCTGTGAGGGGTGTGCCAGAATTGGGCGGCACCGCCATGTGAACTGCGCCATGGGACCCTTAGGTGGAGATTTCGATGGGGCCACGAAACGTGTGAGGGGTGTGCCAAAACGAGAGGGGGGGGGCGGCGGAGCTCAGAGCAACGCGCGCGGGCCAGCATACGAGTGGGCCCGCTCGAGGACTTGGAAATTGCACGCCATGTGGGACCTGCAGAGCGCGCGCGTCGTCGAGTGGCTGGTGTTTTCGCAGGGCATGGCACCGTCTGGCGCCCTTCGTTCTTGAGAGGCCTCCCAGGGTTGCCCGCCAGATGAACCCAAGACGCGCGAGGGCAACGTGCTGTTGCTGCTGCTGCTGCTGCTGCTGCTGCTGCTGCTGCTGCTGCTGCTGCTGCTTTGTGATAGAGAAGGCGGGTTTCCACGGCTCCCGCGAGCACCCGCCCACCGCCGACAGTGGCTGATTGAAGCAGGTGCGTAGGCATATCGAGCGGGCCGGCAACGGCGTAATCGAGTTTTCCGCCTGCGTGTGCGGGAAGTTGCCGGAAGTGCTCGTTCGAATACATTGTCTTCGCTCGATTTGAGGCGGCCCAGCAGCCGTCGAACTCACCCTTTCTTGGAGCCAAACATTCTCGCCGTTCCCGAATGCATGGTGCCCCATACCGCAAAGCAGCGAAGATCGGAGTGGCGCGTTCGGCCCTCTGAACGCCGCTGAAATCTCCGCGGCCCACACGAACAGCACCTGCACGGCGCGTTGACGAGGCGGACTGCGGCGTACAGCCTTCAGATGTGCAGGGAGCAGGCCGCCCTGGCCGCTCGGGCAGCGCGCCTTCGAACCGCCCCTGGACGACCAACTCGACGAGGAGGAAGGCGCGGACCGCGCCAGGGGCCGCCTCAACAGGGTTTCGCGAACGATTTGGTGTGCCCCGACGAGTGGAAAGTGGTGATGACCCTGGCCTGCAGTGGCGAGCACCGCGTCAACATCCTCGAGGTGCGAGCTGCCTTGCAGGCCGTGGAGAACCGAGCGCAGCTCCGCCCGAGCTCGCGCGGGGCTTCCCTGATGGGCAACGCGGTGGGCATGGTTGCTTGGCGAAGGAGCGTTCCTCGTCGCGGGCCCTGAACGCCTAGTTGCTGGAGCCCGTTTCTTTATTGCTTGGGGCATGACGGGCGTCATGGCCCCCAGCCCCCCCCCCCATGACGTAACGCTCCCCCCTCCAGTGCGCTCTGGGCACTGCCCCCCAGTGCGCTCCGAGCACTGCCGCTGTGCGCAGTAGGATCCGCGTAGGTGTCCGCGCAGGAATCCGCATAGGAGTCTGGTCCGCAGTCGTCGTCGTCGTCGTCGTCGTCGTCGTCGTCGTCGTCGTCGTCGTCGTCGCTCGTGGCTTGTCGCTCGTGGATTGTCGCTCGTCGCTCATAGTCGTCGTGCGCGCGGACGCGGCTCAAGCCTGTTTTTTATTCTGGGCCGATGACGGCAATCATCTAGGGGGGGATGGAGGGGGTCGATGACGTCACGTTTCGCGCCGGCGGCGTTTGGGAAGGCCTAGGAATGACGGAGGACGGGTAGTGCCAGCATGTAGGTGGCGATTTGCACCACAACGCTTGTGTACACCACAGTGCCTGCGTGCACCACAGCGCCTGTGTACACCACCGCCTCTGTACACCACAGCAGCCGCGTGCAACACAGCGTCAGTTTGTGCCACCGTGCCTGCGGGCACACCATCTCTTGTGCACACCACAGCGCTTGCGTTCACCACATCAGCCGTGTGCAACACAGCACCAGTATACACCACAATGCCTGCGTGCATTGCAGTGCTTGTGTGCACCACGGCGCCTGTGTGCACCACAGCAACTGTGTGCAACACAGCACCATTGTTGTTTATAGAGTGTGAGAACGAATCCTTACGACAAAATGGAGCGCCTGTGGATTCCACAGAAAGCAATATGAAATAATCCTTATGGACAACGGAGCGCCGCTGGAATCTACGTGTCCTCCCGAGTCCGCCCGCATCACCCTAACTCCTCCCTTTGCGTCCAGGAGGTTCCAGCTAAATTGGCCGTCCAGGAACCAAGTGGACCGATTCAATCGACCATTCTGCGGTGCGCGCTGAGATGCGCACGTGCGCTGTAGCTCCAACCCCCCGCACGACAGGGGGTAATGAGGAGGAGGAGGAGGAAGTGGATGTGGAGGAGGAGGAGGAGGATGAGACACATGCGCTGTGTTGCACATGGTAGCTGCGGTGTGCAATTGTACGCCGGCGCTGTAGTGTACGCAAGCATTGTGGTGTGCACAGGCGCTGCGTTGCACACGGTTGTTGCGGTGTACGCAGGCGGTGTGGTATACACGCGCGCTGTGGTGCACGCGAGCGTTGTGGTGTACACAGGCGCAGTGGGGCATATCGCCACTTACATGCTGCTCACGCCGTTGACGTCGTCGTCGTCGTCGTCGTCGTCGTGATCGTCCTCGTCGTGGTCGTCGTTGTCGTCGTCGTCCTCGTCGTCGTCGCTCGTGGCTCGTCGCGTCGCGCGCGCGGGCGCGGCTGCGGTGCCGGAGCCACACGGCGGGGGGGTCGTTACGTCATACCCCCCCTTCTCGCCCCCCCCACCCCCCATGACGCCCGTCATCGCCGAACATAAAGAAACGCGCTCCTGCGCGGCCTCCCAGCAACTTCCACCCAGGGTTCGATTTTGTGTCGGTTGCAGTACGTGCTGAAGGGCAACTGCGATGAGATCTCGCGCTGGGCCGGGTTGCCCCGACAGCGCCGGCGGCACGGAGAGTGGGCGAAGATCGTTTCAAGCTGCTGGACTTCGACAGCAACCTCGGCTTTCGTGATCGCCGCGTTGCTGGAGATGCAACCCCGCGTCGCGGCGAAGGTTTGGGCCAATTGCGAATAGTGCTGCACCGCGCGAAAGGGCACGTCGGCGCAAACCTGGAGACGATCAGCGGTGTGATCGACGCGGGACGGTCGTTGCTGCGCCAGCTGCCCGCCGCGCGGGACGTGGCGTCGTCGTGGCAGGAGCTCGAGCCCACGCTTCGCCGGGTGCCAACAACGCGCGCCCTGACGCAGGCGCTGGCGGGCCTCGCCTTCTGGTCGGGCCGCTGGGATGTCGGGGTCATCACGTGCCTCCCGCTCGTGGCTGGCAAGCCGATCGGTGCCGACCTCCTCCTCCCGAGCCGCATGATGCTGGACTCCTCCTCCTCCTCCTCCTCCTCCTCCTCCTCCTCCTCCTCCTCTTCCTGCACTTCCTCCTCCACGATGTAGGTGGAAGTGCGAACGGCGAGAGGGGGGCAGCAGATGGTGGCCAGGCTGGAGCACGCGCGAGTGGACGAGGAGCTGCTGATATATGGCTCCTCGAGGCCTGGAGCCTCGGCTGGCCTTAGAGAAACTTTCTGGCCGCCGCACCTGCCAGGGTTCGTGCGCCATGCTCCAGAAGCTCACCACCCACCAAACTACCCCAACCCAACCCGAAGGCCCCGATTTGCTCTCCATTTCCAGTGGGGGGGGGGTCGGGGAACACGTGAAAGAAATGTGAAACCCGTACCCCCCCAACCCGAAATTTGGGTCTTCGGGTCGGGTTGGGGTGGACGGGTAGCTAGTCAGGAGCTGCGCGACTCGCTGGTGACTGTCTTCGGGATGCGCGCCGAGGGCTTGGGGTCCACGCCAGGCGCCTACATGGGAGGCCGCGTCATTTCGATTTCCCAGGAGCCCGACGACCAATGGAAGACTTGGTGGAAGGGGCACTGGCGCCAGTTGTACACGCTGGAGGTGCACGTGCAAGAGGTGGCCGCCACCGACTTTTGCTCCCCGAACTCGACGTGCTCGCCAGGGAGCGGATCCGCCGGTGTAGCCGTGCAGCCCTGGCCATCTTCCGAGCCGCGCTGTCCTAGCTACGGTTCGGCTTTGATCGCACGTCATATACGATGTTGGAGGGATGGGGTATTCTGCGGCCCATGGCGCTCCACACGTGCTGACGGCTTTGCCTTTTGCCCCGTGTGTGAGCCTCCTGTGCCAGCCACGCCAGAGATTGCTGCCGGCGGCGTTCCCTACCCGCCGCCCTCGATTCTTGCTCGCGAGAGCCGACCGCAACACGCGGGTCGTCTGGGGGCGGCATAGTGTATCATAGTCTGATGATGATGGTGATGATGGTGGTGGTGGTGATGATGATGTTGCGATGGTAATGGCGATGATGGTGACGGTGATGGTGATGGTGATGATGATGATGATGATGATGATGATGATGATGATGATGATGATGATGATGATGATGATGATGATGATGCTGATGATGATGATGATGATGATGATGATGATGATGAAGTTGATGATGATTGTGATGGTGTTGGCGATGATGATGATGATGATGATGATGATGATGATGATGATGATGATGATGATGATGATGATGATGATGCAGATAATGAGCATGAGGCAGGGGGAGGAGGACGAGGAGGAGGAGGAGGAGGAAAAGGAGGAGGCGGAGGACCAGACAAACCCAAGACGCATCGACGATGTTGCAGTAAACCCTCCTCAAGTTCCCTCTTCATCGGTCCCTGCAAGAAGTTGTTTTCTCTGCGGGAAGGGCCCGATTGGAAAACAACCGTCTAATAATTCTGATTCGTTCCCAAAATAATTTACGAGACCTCAACGCCGCGAATCAGCGTGACCGCTGTGACCTGACAATCCCACACCGTGCCGAAACACCATTCCTGGATTTCGACGCCGAGAATCGACGTGACTGTTGTTGCGCCTTGACAGTCCTGAGCCGTAGAAGAGCACAGTTCTTGGGACTTCGACCATAGGAATCCGTGAAACGGCTGAGACGAATGTGGGCGGCGCTGAGGCGATAACCACATGTTAAAGGCGAGTGGGCGCGGCGCTGAGGCGAGAGCCACATTTTGAAGCCCGCCCTACATCCTAGAAGCTGCTGCAAACTTTCAAAACGAACGAGCGCGGCGCAGAGGCGAGAGCCACGTGCTGAAAACGGCCCGTTGCATACTTGCAAGACGAATGTTGCAATAAGCCCTCCCTCCAAGTTCCGTCTTCTTCGTAGGTCCCTGAAAAACATGTTGCTCATTGCGGGAAGTGCCCCGTTGGAAGACAACCGTCTGAGAATCTTCAGTCGTGTCAAGGCACAGTTCCTGGGACTTCAGCGCCGCGAATCAACATGGCTGTTGTGTCCTGACAGTCCTAGATTTATGCTGGGCCCGTCCCTCTACAGGGGGAATATCCAAACATAGTCAACAAATAGTCGGGGGACTGCGCTTTGACAAGTTTTGATCATGTGGGGGGTATTGTTTGAACATGTTTCATGTTTCGCCCAAAATCCCCCTGTAGGGGGACACGCCCGACTTAATCCTAGATCGTGGCAGACACAATTCCTGGGATTCAACAGCGCAAATCGACGTGCCTGGTGCGTCCTGGCAGTCCTGAGCCCTACCGGAGCTCAGTTCTTGGGTCCTCAACCATAGGAGCCCTTGAAAAAGGCTGCAAAGGTTCAAGACGAATGCGCGTAGCGCTAATGGGGAGAGCCACCTCTTGAAATCGGCACGCCCTCCATCCGTGAAGCTGCTGCAAACGTTCAAGACGAGTGCGCGCGACGCCGAGGCGAGAGCCGCATCTCGAGAACGGCCCGCCCTTCACCCGTGAAGCTGTTGGGCATCTCAAGCTTCGGGATCGTAAGCGGTGGAGAGGTCTCGGGCGAAACGCACGGTCCGCCCTGCCGCTATGTCTGGGGGGTGCGACAGGGAGGAGCTTCTTCTTGGGACAGGAGATGGATGAGGGAGAAGGAGGAGGAGGAGGAGGAGGAGGAGGAGGAGGAGGAGGAGGAGGAGGAGAGGAGGAGGAGGAGGAGGAGGAGGAGGAGGAGGAGGAGGAGAGGAGGAGGAGGAGGAGAGAGGAGGGAGAAGGAGGGAGAAGGAGGGAGGAGGAGGAGGAGGAGGAGGAGGAGGAGGAGGAGGAGGAGGAGGAGGAGGAGGAGGAGGAGGAGAAGGAGGAGGAGGAGAGGGTCCGCGGCACGCGGAACGCACGGGCAGGTCCAGCACGCGGCGACGCGCCGTGCGAGCCCCGTGGGGTCGGCGCTCCCAGTGCACTGGCCCATGAGCGTGAGGTTCGAGTGCGACGAGGCGCTCCCCCGACCCCCCACGACGACGACGACGAAGACGACGACGACGACGACGACGACGACGACGACGACGACGACGACGACGACGACGACGACCACGACGAAGACGACGACGACGGCGACGCCGACGACGACGCCGAGGGCGTTCGAGGGCGTTCGAGGGCCTCCGAGGCCTGTGGCGCGGGAAATCCTGTTTGTGGCGATTCGAGGAAGGGGAGCAGGCGGCAGGCGAGGAAAGGGAAGGATGGGGTGGGCCCTCCCAGCCCCCCCTTCTGGGGACAGGAGGGTGCAGGAGGGAGATGACGAGGAGGAGGGCGGAGGAGGGCGGATGATGGGGAGGAGGAAGGATGGACGGAGGTGGGGAGGAAGGAGGCGGGAGGATGGCAAGATTGGGGGGGACGGAGAGTTGGATGATTCCCTGGCCGACCCCGGCCCCCCAGCCCCCAGCCAGCGGAAACCCGCCCAGGCAGAAGCAACAAAAACAGCACACACACAACGAATGGCAAACGTGACAGCACCCGAAGATCTTCCCAGGCGGCCTCCCCGGGCCCTCCTGCGTTAACTTTGGAGACCAGAAGAGATCCAGTGCATTCGACGTGGCATGGCCGTCAGCGAATGTGACGCTTCGCTCCTAAACTTCACTGGCCTGCAGCCTGGAGGTGGCGCCAGTGGGCCGCTGGCCGCCACGCACAGCGACACAGCAGAGGGACACGGCGCACCGGAAGAAGAGGCCATCTCATCTCGCTGATATGGCTAAAGGCCATACCTACGCAGGGCGCGCACGACGGTATCTGCCGGCATCTTTCGGCGACGAGCAAGGGGTGGAAATGAGCAGGAGAAGGCCTTCTCAGAAGGCTGGGGGACTTCTCAGAAGCCCTCGCGCCTTCTCAGAAGCTTCCTGCGTCTTCGGGGAAGGCTCAGAAGACTTCTCAGAAGGCCAGGGGGCCTTCCGAGCCTTCCGAGAAGACACGTCCCCTCTGACTTCCCTCTGGGCTCGCCGCCGAATCCTTGTTCCCCTGAGATCCGACATTGCAAACAAAAAGATACAAGATCGCAAAAAATCACGCACGGACCCCCGGACCCCATCTTTCTGTGCTATTTTTTGAGCTGGATCGATATGTGAGAGCCCTGCGGCCCGAGCTCGGGCGAGAAGATGTCTCCCCTACAAATTGGGCTGCTCCAATGTTTTCGATGCGTGTTCCCCAGAGGTCCAGACCACCTCCCTAGGGCTCGTTTTTCGTCCGGAGTCGTTCTTTGACGCTCTCGAGGCCCGGCGAGGGGCCCTGGAGACCGAAAACTGCCACAATCCCGCCGCTCTCTGATTTTTTTGGGGCGTCGGATCTCTGGGTCCTTCCAGGCACTCCTCCATCCTGGGCGGCATTGTAGCCGCACCGCCAGGGGCGATATGCAAGGAGAAGGATGAGGAGGAGGAGGAGGAGGAGGAGGAGGAGGCGGAGGCGGAGGAGGAGGAGGAGGAGGAGGGATCTGATGACGCGGGCGGTTATCTTTCCGCCCCTGGCCGCGCGCCGCAACCGAGGGAGGTTGAGCCGCCTGCGATCCCAGGAACACGCCAACCAAGGGGCCCCGGCGGGCCGTGCCGAGCAACGAAGGGCTCAGCAGGAGCGCCCCAACGGGCGAGCACAATGACCTCGGGGGAGCGAAATACACCAGGAGGAAGAGCAGGAGGAGGAGGGGGAGGAGGAGGAGGAGGAGGACGAGGAGGAGGAGGAGGAGGAGGACGAGGAGGAGGAGGAGGAGGGGGAGGAGGAGGAGGAGGAGGAGGAGGACGAGGAGGACGAGGAGGAGGAGGAGGAGGAGCCTCCTAGCCCGCAAGGGCCGCGAGGAGCCACGCGGGCGGTTCCCCCCTCGCCCGCGGGCGCGAGGACCTCAGCCACCGTGCCCCTCTTCTCCAGGAGTGCCAGGGCAGCTGAGGAGGGCCTTCCACATCCCTTTGGCCCCGTCCAAGAGCGTGTTTCTGCATTGCTAGGGGCATAGTGGGCATTAAAGCCCCCGGCCCCCCCTCCCCCCCCCCCAAAACGTAACGCTCCTCCCCCCCAGCGCGCTCCGGGCACTGCCGCCGTGCGCATCGGGCACACGGTGGGGGGGGAGGCGTTACATTATACCCCCCCCTGACCCCCTCCCCCCCCCCTATAATGCCCGTTATCGCCGAAAATAAAGAAACGCGCTCCAAATCGGAGACAAACTCGGCAAACTTGCCGAACTTCTGGTGGCACCTTTCGCGGACGATCCTGATCAACACTTCGTCGTCGTTGTCCGCCACCGTATTAGCCAAAGCCTTCTTGCCCTTCTTGTCCTTCTTGTTTTTACCCTTTTTGGCGGCCCGGCTGGAGCCCCTGTCGGAGATGAACTTGCCCCACGGCTCAGGTAGATGCTCTTCCTCCTCATCACTATCCGCCTCGACGACGTTCACCAGAGAAGGGAGAGAACCATCTTCGTCCAGCGACTCCTGCGGGTCCCCGATGTAGAACTGAACGGCTGCACCTCCGGCGGCCCGATCAGCTCCTGTGGGTGACTCCACTCCTTCTCCTCCTGACTCTTGGTCTTCTCCAGTTGCGGGAGTGCCTCGCCGGGGGGATGCTTCTTCTGGTCCTTCTGGTCCTTCTTGTGGGTGCTGTCCTCCGGACCCTTCTTGTCCTTCTGGCGGAAGCCAGATGGGAAGAGCGCACTCTCCTTCACCCCCTCGCTCTTCGACGGTCTGGGCGACCTCGCAGGCCGTGGATGTGGCGAGTGGTCCTTCTCCGCCTCCAGGTGGTAGCGACGCGACTTGACATGCCGAAGGTGCAACCCGGCCTCCTTCTCCACATCGTGAATCAGCTCCTGGAACCGCTTCCTGCTCAAGCTGCTGCCCTGGAGCCCTCAGCCCATGTCCGCCGCCCCATTCTTCAGATGGTCCCACAGAGATGCAGGACGACGAGCCAGCACTCAGACCTTGGGCGAACTCGTTCAAGCGCTCGTCGAGGTCCCTCGATAGGATGGCGCTGTGCATGAAGAGCCGGTGGTTCATGAGCTTCCGCATGGCCTGGGGCGGCAGCGCGGCCCTGAAGAGCGCCGCCCCAGACCCAGCTGCTGGGGGCAGAGCCGCTAGGAGGAGCAGGAGGAGGAGGAGGAGGAGGCGGAGGAGGAGGAGGAGGAGGAGGAGGAGGAGGAGGAGGAGGAGGAGGAGTAGGAGGGGGAGGAGGGGGAGAAGAGGGAGGAGGGGAGGGAGGAGGGGGGAGGGGGGGGAGGTGAGGGGAGGGGGAGGAGGAGGACAAGCTAGGTGCGCTCGCGTCATATCTGACATCCTACCCCTCCCTCCCATCCCTTACCATGGCGTAGATCCCCTCTCTACTCGCACAGTCGGATGTCGAGCAGGGCAATGATCCCGAAAGGGTACGCGATGCATTGTAGAGCACGGCATGGCATGGCGTAGAAGAGCACCGCAAAGCGTAGTATCAACCTAGCATTGCATTGCATGCCGTGGCATGGCACGGGAAATGACGCCAGCGCTGCAGCGGGAGCACGAGTCGAAACGAGCGGAAGCGCGGAAATGAGGCCAGCGCTGCAGCGGGAGCACGATTCGGAACGAGCGGAAGCACGGAAATGAGGCCAGCGCTGCAGCGGGAGCACGAATCGGAACGAGCGGGGCCCGAAAATGAGGCCGGCGCCTCAGCGAGAGCAGCATTTTGAAAAAAGTGCAAGCGAAAACCCAACTCCCGGGAATCCTGTGTGTAAAAAACAGTAAGCGGGTGGGGGGGTCGAACACTCCCAGCACGTCATCAGGGGAAGAGGGAGAGTAGTATTCATATTGAGTAATTGTGGAGGAGGAGGAGGAGGAGGAGGAGAGGAGGAGGAGCAGG